AGCTATAAGAAAAGCAAAGAAATAAGTTTAATTTTTTTAATATGCATGAAAGTTTCAATGGCTACAGTTTGTAGGCCACAGTATGTAGCCTTCATAATGACTGAATACATCACTGGATAACTAAAAACAATATTCACCTGGTTATATTGCAGAGAATGTCAGAACTCCGAAAATACTTTCAAAAAAATCAAAGCTGAAATATCTTAATCAAGGAATGAAAATTAGTGTATCCAAAGATATCTCACTTCCATGATTGAGCCAAAAGTCCTATAGAATGCTAAACAGTGAATGAAATAACCTTGAGTTCTAAACGAAAGCAAATGTGAATGTAGGGAAGAATACCTATCAATAAACTGTTAATGAAAAATTTTTGACTCTCATAGTGGGATATAATTATTATTAGAGTGTAAAAAAATATTTGAGAATGAAAATCAATAAGAGAAATTTGAACGCCATCTCCAGAAAATGAAGAAAATATTTAGAGAAGAAATATTTTGATAAACATGTATGCATATTGAAGTAAGCATGGTTTGCAAAACCCTAGATAGATAGAGATAGTACATAGATAAAGATGATGGTAATGGAGATAGATGAAAGAGAGATTATATACTGTTAATCCATTAGTGGCTTAAAACAAACTACTTTAAATACAAAAACTTGACACATTAATGGGATACCCTGGAAGAAGATGTTGCATGCGGATACACTTCACAGTCCTATTTTGGGGAGGAAATTAGACATACAAATTATTTATAATCTGTTGGATATATACATTAACAATCCATAAGTGACCACCAATAGAAAATAAAATGAATATATCATATCCAGTCTTCTCTAAGTAAAATGAAGAGAGAAACAAAGAAGATAATATCAGTCAAACAGTAGGATAAAGCTGAGATTTGAGACCATCTAAAGGGTGATATCTTTCTCCGACAAAAGAAGACAGTAAAACTGGGGAATAGTTCAGAGTGTGCTTCAAGTCTTTCAAATGTGTCAGCCTAGAGAAAAATCTGATCTTAAAACACTAAAATGTGAACATATGTTAAATCTGAGTAGGTGAGTCATATTGGTTGTATCTCTAGTAAGTTTAGAAATGTAATTATCTTGTTAACAAGTTGAAAATATAGGATGCTATCTGACAAAACTGTGTCCTTATATATTTTTCTTACTATATAATTGAGGTAATATTATTTGATTTCTTTAGATTCTACCTGTTTAATTTTTAAATATGTGGGACATGGTAATATCCCCTACCTTCCAGGGTTACTTTAGGAATGTGTAGTGTGTGACTAATACCCGAATCAATTAAGTATCTAATATTCATTACCTGGAAGAACTAAAGAACTAGCAGGATATACTTGAAGATAACAGCTTATTGAAATGGAAAAGAGTTATTTGTTTCACATGTTAGGGAAATATTCATATTATGGATAGTTGCATTTGGATTTAAGGTTAGAAAACTATTGGTGAATTGTAGTTAGGTGTGTACATGGGTGAGAGCAGGAGACTAGAGATGGTTTGAAGATGGGAAGGACAGATCATAAAATGCTTGCTCAATATTTCTTGAAATAAAGAGGCAAAGAAAACTCGTGTAAGTATTTATAGAACCAAAAGGGAAAATACAAGTTTATAAAAAAGGAAAACTTCAGCGCTGGGGATTTAGCTCAGCAACATAAACACCTGCCTTGCAAGCAGGCAGTCGTGAGTTCGATCCCTGTTACCGATAAAAAGGAAAAAGACAAAAAAAAAAAAAAAAAAAAAAAAAAAAAAAAGGAAAACTTCAAATGTGAACTATTTTAAGTAGTTTGTTATGCACGAAATTAGGGCATTTGATAAAAGGAGATGGCAGTGTGTGTATGTGTGTGTGTGTGCGCGTGCGCGCTTTCGTGTGTGCGTGCATGTGAGTTTGTGTTGGTGATAACAAATACTTTAGCATGGTGGACTGAAAAAATAGTCTTTTAGCCCAGAACATGCCAAAGTATGATTTTAAAAGTACATCGTAGATTAAGGTTTTCTAAAAGAAAGAACAGGTTCTAATCAAGAACACAGATGAAAATGTTGGTCTTATGCAAGGGAAAATCATGTTTTCTGAGGTTAAAAGAAAACTGAATTCTAAGTTCTGCCAAAGATAAGTGTTTGCATGGAAGGACAGGACATTGAAGTAGCTTATGTTTCATCATTTCAAATTTTTCTGTAAAACAAGTATATGGCAATGGCGTCCTCTGCAAGAGAAGGTGAACTTTCTGTATCTTGATTGTCATTGTCTGGTCTTTTCTTTCAAGAGGACTTGAGCATTGTGGTGCTCCACAAGGGACATTTCTGCAGATAGAAGATTGAACTCAGGCCCAACTCTCTTTCTCCAAAGAAGAGTAACTGTACTGTAGGCAATCACTGTTTAGGCTCCAAATCACCGCACTCATTTCAGAACATGGCAAATGGTCCACAGCGGTGATGTTTGAGAATTACTGGTGAAAGCTTTTGGGAAATAAACAGGGTCCAGGACTGTACATTCCACGTCCTCTAAAAATCAACTTTCTAGAAATAGATTCATACAAGCTGTAGTTACTGTTGAATGTTGTGTTTTTATTGTTGTGGTGACATAAAATCTTTAAAGCACCGCTAGTAGTAAAGGTAATCATGTCTGCTTCTAGGACTACTCTGTGGTCATTCTAAGAGTTGCATTTTAAATTAACCTGGAGAACAACTTCTGGAGATTTGCGGCTTGTGCTGGTTTGGCTTCCACAGCAACTTATTAAATGTCCTGTGCTGATAGTGCTTGGTGATACTTAAGCTGTTCCTATAAACATCTGGTATGAAATGAGTTTAAGTCCTAAGATGGTTCCCAATTTGTTGCAGGTCAGCTGTTAAACTTTTGAACTATTTCCTGTAGTTAAGATAATAATAAACAAAAAGAAAGAAAGGGAGAAAGGGAGAAAGAAAGAAAGAAAGAAAGAAAGAAAGAAAGAAAGAAAGAAAGAAAGAAAGGAAGACAGAGGAAAAATTGCTTACAACATGAGTACCCAGCTTCCCAGTATCTCTTCAGACTTTTGTTCATTTTTGACTAAACTCTACTTTAATTCACACTTACCATATACACAATATTTTGATTACTCTCTAATGTGTAATAGAAAGTAGTACAATTTTTGTTACTTTCCAGAGCATTATCACAGAATCCAATGAAATAGGCAAAAATGAGTAGAATGACATTTCTAGCCTGCACGTAATCTTTCCAAGATCAGTTAGAGACAAATTCATGTTTACCATTTAGGTTTAAGGGAGATAGTGAAACAAATGTCTTTTATATATTTTGAAACTATTCAAAATGAGAAAGAACTTTTTTTATTTGGTTAGGCATTTCAAATATCATTTCTTTTATCAGTAAAGCTATATTGATAAATAATGTCTTAGACAAAATGCCTTATATGTTAGACCATTATCGCAATAAAACTAATCCTTAGGTTGAAAATTACAGTTGAAGTTCCAATTAATTGCTTAGCAATGAAATCTACCTTTCAGCTTCCAAGACTGAGTGGGACAAGTGTTTTGGTCCCATAAAATAGAGTCACTTCCCTTCTTGTGACAGAGAAATATCAGAAGTTACAGAGACTGAGTCCTATTTATTACTTCCAAGAAAGTCAGTGGTATATCAGGAGAAATAGTAGATAATTCCCTCTATACCTGGCATATGTACTTTTAATTGAAGGGGTATATTCCAATTTATTAGTTTAATACTTTGAAGTCTTTCATTCTCTTTCCATATTTTGACCTTCAGTCATGAATGTCATGATTAGTTCAGGAAAAAAAAAAGCACTAGGATTCATGAAAAAGTACTGTATTAGAGGGATTCACTATGGTAAGTGAAGGTAATAATTTCTCATTGTAATTTGGAGAAGCACACAGAGGTCTAGCAAAGCAAGCACTGGGCTCCAAATGGCTATGATTTACTGATTAAAAAAGCAAGAGGTCTTCAGGCTTGATTAGGATCTGGAACACATAAACTCTGTATATGGCATAGTCTTGGATTCAAAACATTTTTTGTTTTGTTTTGGTTTTGGTAGCAGGAATCAGGCTCAGGACCTCCTCCTTGCCAAGCAGACACTTGTGCTGCTGAGCTACATTCTTGGCCCTTGGATTCCTATCTTGTTTTATCTAATGGACACCAACAGCCAGAAGAGCACAGGATGTAACTTGACACCTCAATGTTTACCAGACATGATTGCCTTAAGCACTTTGCTATAGATTTCACCTATAAAATCTACCAAAGACCAGATCCTTTAAGAGATCAGCATTTGGGAAATGTACTCTGTACAAGACAAGTTTTACTTCTTAATGCTAGCCTGATTGTCTTCTTAACCCACATAGCACAATGCCTTGCAATATGTAACTTTTGAATAAAAGGCATAGTGCACGAATGGATGAATGAATTACTGGTATAGAAAGTGTGGTTATTTTTCTCTTATATCTTCTCACTTTGTTCTTTTTCTGTAAGAAGTAAACAGATGCATAGTTACTATTTGTAGTCTGCTTGTCACTAGAATCTGTCTTCTATATGACAGTAATCTGTTCTCTAATCCATATGCCAGACTCTTCTAGTGGTTTTCTTTTCTTTCTTTTTTTTTCTTTCTTTTTTTTTTTTAATTGGCATCAGAGACTGAATTTACAACCTTGTGCTTGCCATGCAGGCATTTGTGCCACTGAGCTAAATTTCAGACCCTTTCAATGATTCTCTAAGCCTCACTACAAACACAAGGAGGTTACAGCTTACAGAATAATGGCTCTCTATGTCTCTGTGTGGGGGACCTCAAGTTTATATTTTAATTTCCTATGAACAATGCATGTGTGTATGTGTGTGTGTGTGTGTGTGTGTTGGTGTGTGTGTGTGTGTGTATCCTTGAGAATTAAATCCTAAATTATAAAAGCAGCCAGTATTTTCTAATGTTCATGATGTCTTCGTGCTATGATAAACATTTGAAATAGTTTATCTCATTTAATCCTCACAGAATCCTAATGAAGTGTTGACTGTCATTATCTCTATTTGATGAAGAGGATACTGAAGCTCACAGAGAATTAATAATGTGTCTGCAGTCATCTAATGTGGAGTAATCAACAGCAAGTGGCCTGAATCCACACACATCATCCTGGACCATTTTTTTTTTCAAAGAGAAAACCAAGAGAGACAGAGAAATAGCAGGTGAGAAGTTTTGTCAATGTCAATTGCACAAGGAACTGGAAAAACCAAAACCCAGACAAGAAGAGACCCTAATATTGACCTTCGGGATATATAAACCTTATAAGTCATCTGGTGAGTTAAGCTTTGGTCTTCCCCTGAGACTGCTGGGTGCTGATATCCAAACTTGGTGCTTATATTTCTGCGGCATAGGAGAACTGTGTCTTTGGTTCTATCTTTTAAACGTCTGTCCCATTCCTTGGTGTGATTAAAGTTTAGGACTCAAGTCTTGCATTTATAGTGGTATGCATTGGGCTCTCCTGTCTTCATCTGCATTGTGTCTCTCATTCACATTCTCTCGGGACACTGGACGTAAATGCTCAGTTAGACCAGTTTTCCTATCTGTGACTTTCATTTGCGAATAGTTCTACTCTATGGAGAAGGTGGTATGGCAGCTGTCTCTCTGCAGGACCAAGCTCTGTTGGTGTGAAAATTCATTAGTAAATTATTTTACTTTTCTTTGAGTATCGTGGTATTTACTATATTCCTTTAGATCTTAGTTGTGTTTATTTATTGAACTTGACAAATTTGCAGAGATGAGGAAATGGATCATCTGGCCTGTATCAACCCATCCAAATTGTGCAGTTCTCAATGGAAAGGGATATTTTCAAAATATGAATGCTTAAAATGGTGTGGTCAAAAGTACACTTCAGTGTGTAGAAGTCTATATTTGTGTATACTGATAGAAGAGTTGAAGCAGTTCAAAGATACACACTTCTTTAGGAAATTTTCACTGTTTAGATCACATAGGCTTTTATGTACCTCTCAGTAAAAGAGACTATGGCATGGGGTGGATCAGAGAAATTCCTGCTTTTATAACTATACCTTCTTGACAAATGTTTCATATTATTTGAACATATACCATTCTTTACTAGTTTTATATTCTTGCAAGGGTTAATTTATCTTGTTATTTTCCTTACTTTTAGAATGAAAATAAAAATAGTACTGATCTTATAAATGTAGTATTGAAATCAGTGATTTTGGAAGTTTGAAGCACGCAGAATAATAAGTTAACAGGAACAGAGTGAGCACTCATTAAACATTTTTATAGCTGTTATTTTGCCAATCTTCTAATACACAAAATTACACATGACACAGGCAATCTATGCAAATCTGAAAGGATGTAAATCCTGATTTGAGCTTCGGTATTTAATAATCCTAAATAGAATGTTTAAGATTCTACTATTTCTTAATGAAAACTCAATTTGGATCAAACAAACACTTTTCCAGGGTCATTAGGATGGATTTTCTGTCTTATCATATCTGGGTTTCCTGGAATCTCTCTAGTCATCCCTCTTATGTTGTCAAAGTGGGGAGAATGCTATGACTTATTTTGTGGTGAAACAGTCTAGCCCTGTCTGACATGAGCCATATAGACTGCAACGGCCATATAGACCCAACCTCACCTCTGATGCCTCACCTGACTGTCTCTGCATATTAACCCAATTCAGCAGTTCACAAGGACTAGAAGAAGCTGGTGCTTTCCCCATGGAAATATCTACCATCCTGTTGTAGGCAGACAATCCAAACACGGTGTGTGATGTAGTAGACAGTACCAAGGCAAATCAATAAGAATTCCTTTAGGTAATGGGAAACGTAGCACCTCTAAGTACAGCTACGGTTTCTTACATAGAAACACAGCACCATCTCAGTGAATTTCAAGGTCTGTGGGTCTCTCCAGTATTACTTGAAGGCAAGTCTTAAAAATCTGACTCCTGTAAACTTGCTTTGCTCCTTTTTTCTTCTTGGTCCTTCTCCATTTGACTTTCTTTCCAATGACCCGCACTCTGACTTCCTTTAGATAATGTGAAAATAGTCAGCGTGCTGATGCCAAGGGTGAAAAGGATCTCTCTTCTCACTGAACTGCAGGGAGAAACTCTCCTATTTCATTCCCAGAGGAAGGTTTGCAATCTTACTGGAATAACTTACATCTGCACTGTGATATGTAGAGACGGATAATGAAACAATCTCATTAAGTACATTGTAATAGACTTTGATTTAAAAATCAACTCAAGATGAAAAAAAGCCAACTCTTAATTTAATAAAGAAAATAGACATTTGATAGTTAAAATGTTTTCTGGTTCCAGCCATATGGTGAGTAGAACATAGAAGACTCTATCACTGTAATTTAAAGATTTTACATCAAATTACATTATAACTAGAAAAAATAGTATCTTTATAAGGAAAACTAACAAAATAAAAATCTACTAAAATTTATGAGGAAATGTTATGAGATCTCTTTGGTGGAATATACTAGTGCATCCTATGGAAATTAATGGATCCCATACTAAAAAATGTGCATTAACTCAGGCCATGAACTGGCTGTACAGTAAGTGGTGTGGAATCATAATCACCTATATAATCCATGGAGCAAAACTGAGTCTAGTAATGCTTGAATCTTGGAGTATTTATACTTCCCTTTATAACGGAGTTTTCCCTGATTTTCTCATGCTCTCTGCTATCCTTAAATGAAACAGATTGAGCATACTGAAAAGAGCTGTTTACAGAGGTCTGGAGATATATCTCACTTGCACAGATCCTGCCTGGTAATGCAAGGACATGAGTTTGATTCCTGGTAGAAAAAGAAAAGTTGTTCATTTCTTTTATTCATTTAGTCTTTTGAATGCTTACTAAATATCTCACCTCACTCTGTGTTACATATGGATGAGTTGTTAAAGTGACTAAATTTGAGTCTCTGACAACAAGCAGATCATATCCTTAAAGATAGAGATAAAAACACAAACAACTAAGTGTAATTCTGTGGGTTCTAAGTGCGGATCTATTGGCTCACAGAAGAAACTGCCTAATTTTACTGAAATTTTGAACAGAGAGAAGACATACATCACCAAAAAAGTAATGTTTTACTAAACTTCCTGATTTAGGTAAAACTCACCAAGAAAGTTAAATGGTATAATACTGTTTTCCCAAGAAGTAATTTTGTACCACGATTTTTTTAGAGAAAAAATAAAACATTAAAAAGGATAGCAACACTACAGAATATCAAAAAAATAACAGTAAGAAATCACTAGTTGATAAATCACATATTGTTATCTTAGAAGTGGTTGTTCCAAGTTACAAAATCAAAGCATAAGAAATGAACAACTAATCAAACAATGACAACACAAACTATTCAATTTGATGAATGAAAACTTAGTAGTATAATTATCTGTCTTGCACATTTAAACATACATACAGTTATATGTGCATACCTACAAGTTGTTCACTCTTCTTAAGTACTTTCCCTTTCATTATATCAATATCTATTATACATTTTGGATCTTATTACTCAGTCAGTTTTTTATTATTAATTATTTTTTACACTAGATAGACAATACAACATTTACAATTGTTGTGCATCATCCTTTCCATGGGTACAACACAAATCATTTAGTCACTCACTTTTGGTAGAAAGGCTGGTCCCAGTTATTGGTAACAAAAACCAAAATCATAAAATTTCTGATATGCCCTTGATTCTTTTCTTAGGGTGCAACTCTAGATATAAGATTACTGGTTCAACAAACCATCAGACTTTTAAAGCTTAAATGCATGTTGTCAAGCTAATGATATTAAAAAGTATGTCTTTATGTTCCCACAAACTGAGTTCAAAATATAAAGTGTTTCATTTTTTGTTTGACTAATAGGCAAGTTACCTGTGCTTATTCTTAGTTTATTCCTTTTAAAATCTGAAGATATTAATATGTAGCATAAACGGTGGCCTTAACAATTTTAGTAGTGATTAACAAATACCTGAATCTTCCTACTATTTTTGATAGTAGGTATCAAACAACTGCCAAAGTCTGAAAATAAAACCCAAGTTTTCCGCATGTGTTAAGTTAGTGTCATCAATTATTTTCCAACAGAAATTGTGCTCTGTCCAAGGAGTGGAAGTGTTGCATCCCGTTTATCAAATGACCCATATTTCAACAATCTTAACTCACTGCTTATAAAAATAATTTAAAAATTAAAACAGTGTGCACAGAGACTTTGCCTGAAAAATAGAAAAAATAGCAAGAAAAAAATATAACATTGAGTAAAATTCTTATTCTGCTGCCTACTATCCACTCATTCAACTTCTCTGAGCTGCAGTTGGATCCTCTGACAAGGGAGAAGATTACATATTCTTTCTAATTTGAAGAATCAAGTGAGTATTATAAATTAAAAATATAGGTAGATCTCACAGTTGTTCTTCTGATATAACCTATTACTGTTATTGGCTTTTTATTGCTGGGTGCTTCTTTTCATTTATTAAGAAGGAAGAGATATTGTTCAAAACGCACACTTCTTTCATACTTGTCAGTATATTTTGTTTGCCGTATTATATTGGTGTGGGGCATTGACGAGGAGGATTTGGATTTATTTTTGAACTCTTGTCAGCACTCCATAATTAACATTACCCAGAAGAGAAACGCTATTTTGCCTCCTGCATCATCAACAGGACTGTCAGCAAATAAGGAAAGCATCATTTTGCCACTATTGGCTGCGAATGTAGGAAGCAGAAAAGAACAGCTGGATTTTCACACACTGAGCTCTTTGAAGTACTGGCATTTAGTGAAATCTGTATTCAGCTTCTACCTACCTCTTTTGGCTTTAAGAATGTATTTAAAGGGAAAAAATGTCACTGTTATTGCAACATCTAATTTTAAACTCGCAATTTGGGAAATTTATTGATCTCAAAGTTGTTTTCCTCAATGTCATTTTACCTCCTTGACATAAAAATGGAAAGTGAATGTTGATTGCTTAGTAGCTATTTTACTTAACAGCCTTTAGTACTCGATTTTCTCTGCGTCCTGTATCCTCTGTGATGTTTTAAATCTTTCTGGTCACTGGTTTGGTTTTAAAGTATAAAGCAAGAGAAAAAGTTAATCTTTTTTTAATGAAAAATTGCAAAGGCTAAATCTTGCAATAAAAGGGCAATGCTACAGCCAGACTATTTATAAGAAAGGCAAAAAACAAACCATGTGCCTTCCATTTTTACAGTATGCAAAATTAGGTGTATAAGGTAATTTTGATAAATAATGTTTGTTGTTTTGTTTTAAGTATTTAATTGCATACATGAGGAATTTTGAAATAATAGG